TTTATTATGGAAAATGACAATTTCCCAGAAGGTTTTAATACATTTTCATACTTTTGAAGACAATGATTACATTGCACATTTCTGACAGCAACCACTTCTGATAAACACGGAATGACAACTTCATATGCCAAATGACAACTTTACTATGGCACATGACAAGTTCCTATATGGTTTTGACACATTTCGTTTTCTGACAGCAACCACTTCTGATAAACACGGAATGACAACTTCATATTGCCAAATGACAACTTTACTATGCCACATGACAAGTTCCTATATGGTTTTGACACATTTCGTTTTCTGACAGCAACCACTTCTGATAAACACGGAATGACAACTTCATATTGCCAAATGACAACTTTACTATGGCACATGACAAGTTCCTATATGGTTTTGACACATTTCGTTTTCTGACAGCAACCACTTCTGATAAACACGGAATGACAACTTCATATTGCCAAATGACAACTTTACTATGCCAAATGACAAGTTCCTATAAGGTTTTGACACATTTCGTTTTCTGACAGCAACCACTTCTGATAAACACGGAATTACACATTTCTGACAGCAACCACTTCTGATGAACATGAAATTACAAGTGCACAAAAGCAAATGACAACTTAACTATGCAAAATAACAAGAAGTGACAAGTTCTGATTTCTTTGACAGCAACAAGTTCTTTACAACATTCAATGACAAGTGCACATTAACTTACATCTTCCACTTAATGTCCCTTTGTCCCAAACATAGAAGTAACAAAAAATATATGTGCACATCTACTAACATCCTGCTCCCAAAAAAATTAAGAAGGATGAACCCTATATGTGCCAAAAAAATTAGTTGTCCCATTTGTAAGTGGAAGTCAACTTGGGTTAGGATTTTTGCATGTCCTCTTTGTATGTCCAGGATGAAGACATCTAGTGCAATGATATATTTTTTTGTTGTGGAATTGTGATTCCTTTCTATTTCTTCTTGGTCTTCCAGAAGGCCTAGCAGTGACTGGGGGTAAAAGCAAGGGTTGAGCAGTAAGATTCTCAAACGTATAGTCATTCAGGTGAGGCATATCAATTGTCACCACTGGAACCATGCTCCGGGCATAGATTTTTTCTTGGGATGAACGTTTGTAACACTCTTCAACATAATCATAAACGTTTCCCCCTATGGTCTTAATGGCTGCACAAGCATGTGAGCATGGAATCCCTAACATTTGCCAAGTTCCACAGCTACATTTGTGTAGGCCAAGGTCCACTCTTTGGTCTCCACGTGATGTGTGCACGCATATTCTTCCCCCTCCATAATTCTCACAGTGCATGTACCTACCGAAATACACATGCTCCAATACTTTTGCCTCTATTTTTGGCCCAACGCAATTACTCCACTTAGTCATTGCTGCATATGATGCATGCATCTTTCTTGCTACTTTCTCCCGGTGCTCATGGATCATTTGGGCCACGTTATGCTTCCTCTCCCTTACCATCCAAGCATTAAAAGATTCAGCTAAATTAGTTGTTATGTTGTCCCACCTTCTATATGGGAACTTGCTCAATGCCCACCTATCCACATCACCTTGATTGATAACCCACTCATATAACTCATGAGACATGGTTCTGAGATCATCCAGCGCATGATCAAACTCATCCGCAAGTCTTGCATAAGCCACTTTATCCAGTACCTTTAATGCATCTTCCTTTGAATTTTCACTTGTCCTTCTCCGACCTCTGTTTACTTTCATATATTCAGAGCTAAAGTTCTCCTTCACATGCCTATAACAGTATGCATGCCTTTCACCCCCAAATATTGCTTGCACAGCACCAATTATAGAATTATGTCTATCTGACACAATAGTCAGTTGCATTGAACCAACAATTTGTTTAATCTTGTGAAAAAACCACGTCCAGTCATCAAGATTCTCTCCCTTCACCACTGCTATTGCAAACGGCAACATCTCATTATCCGCATCATATGCCGAAGCTGACAGTAATGTCCCCTTATATGGACCACTTAAATGAGTACCATCAACATATAATATAGGCCTTGCACCGTTCAAAAAACCCTCAACACATGCACCGTATGCAATGAACACACGCTCAAATCTATTACCAATGGAGGCCCATTCAGCAACCGTTTTGTCATCAGTTTCCTTCAACCTTTCACATAACCATGGTATTAACATATAGGACTGTTCCGGTTTCCCATGTATTTCTTCCATTGCCTTTTCCTTTGCTCTATATGCCTGACAATATGTAAGCCTCACACCATACTCCCTCTCCAACATCTTCCTTATCTCAGTGGGCCGTTTTTCAGCATGGTCCCTTATCTCTTCAACTATTACTGATGATGTCAACGCAGCACTCCCACCATAAGTCACAATCAAATTGTCTTGGGCTGAATGAATGTGCTTATTGCAAAATGTAGTCACACGTAATAGATGACTGTTCTTTCCAACAGCATTTGCACATATCTTCCAAGGACACCCTTCTACTTTACACCTCACATTCATCTTCTCCTTACTATTCCTGATATATCTTGCTGCAAACTTCTCTGCAATACTGAACCTGTACACAGCTTCCCTAAAAGCAACAGCATGTGGAACATATTGGCCCACTCCTACAAACACTCCTGCCCATTTCGTACAATTCATCTCGCCCGTCAGTCTTCCCTGACTCTCTGAACCACTACACTTGCTTCTCTGACTTGATCCGCCTCCTTCAAAAGTTAGGCATTCAACTCCATTCTCAACATTCACTGGCTCATGTTCATCACCAATGGTCGTTTCAAATGTATTCATATCTTGTGAAAGTCCAAATAAATTCTCACTCCTGCCACCATAATACCAAGTTAGGACAGCTATATTCAAACGACAGGTTTGAATAAAATAACATGTCTACATATCTAAATAACAAGTCCGCATATGGTTATTACAACTTTACTAACTAAAATAACAAGTCTACATCTACAAACAATTCCTTGCTCAATTAACAAGTCCGTAAGAGGTAATTACAACTTGAGTTACTCATATAACAAGTTTCCATATAGAAACTACTGGTTAGTAAAATAACATCTACAGATCTAAATAACAAGTCCGTATATGATAATTATAACTTCAATACGTTGAATTACAAGTCTACATATGGAAATCTCTGCTTATGTCTAATAACAAGTCTGCATTTCTAAAACACAAGTTTACAAATGGAAATGACATGTCCACTATGTTCAATAACATGCTTGCATTTACTAATTACAATTTAGGACTGCAGCACCATTAGCTTCATTACAATATTTCTATACGAATTACCAACAATATATTAGTAAATAACAAGATTCAATTGGAAAACATAACCACTTACACGTCTGGCTCATTCCTTGCTCTACGTTCCCTATCATTCCCTTTCCCTCCTACATACACATGACCACTGCTGTCATTATATCTAAACAAGTTGCTGATATCACCATCATCACAAAGATCAATCAATGTACTCTCATCAAATTTAACTTTATACTTAATCTCATATCCACCACCATCATTGCCTATCCACTGTGAAATTATTCCACACAACTCGTCTACTGTTATCCATTCTTTTATACTGGTTACCCTTACACTCCCTCCAATATATTTAACTATCCCTTCACCATTTGCTTCAAAATGTCCACCAATGTGCACGTAACAGAACAACTCCTTCCCACAGCTTCTTCGGTTATTGAAATCCATTTTTCATACTAATCTGCAGCAAAAATTTACGTTTAGTCAGTACGTTAGCTTCACTAATAAATATTTACTCATTTATTCCATCGACTCAACCATTTACATACCAAATTAAAAACCCGTGACCTCCTGTCTTCCCAACATCACTTTAGGCCTTCACAACTTCACTTTAGGGCTTCACAACTTCACTTTAGGGCTTGACGACTTCAACACCGAAAATCATGGTATCGTCATTCCCTCATTCCGCGGCAACACCTCAACGTTCACGGTCAAACTAACGGCCATTATCCAACCTACACTCTGCCAAACCACTACACTCTGACCCCTTCCCCATCGCAACCAGCACCGTGCACTACAAATGACAGATGACCGTTCAGACTACGAAAACAAAAATATCCCACCTCCAACTAACCACAACCTCCTACATTGTCATATCTTTCATCTTCAACTACACCTCCCATTCCCTCCCTTCCTCCAGCCTACTCACCCACACAGCAGAGATGAAGATGGAGAATGTGACGATGTGTAACTCTTACAGGGAACAATACAAGAAGGGTTTACTCAGTAAGTTAGTCGCATTATTGCCAATGTTCGAAGATCCCAATATCGCACATATTCGTTCGGCTCATCCTACTCCACCAGCTCTCCCGCCACCCAAATCCTGGTCTCTGCCTTCATTAACAGTCATGATGAGTGAGGGGCATTTCAGCCATTTTCCTTACATTTCATAATTGCAAATTGGGACCGGGTCCTCTGCAGCAATTTCTCAAATTGGGGGTCCCTGATTGCTATTTTATATATTGGGGGGTCTTTATTTGCAATTTTCCCAAAAAAAAAAGACAATTGATTTATTTTTCGGCCTGACCCAGACAATTGATTTGAAGTGTGATTTAAATATGAATTTCTTCTGTGCCAATTGACAAAGGATTTCAATATGAAGCTAATTAAGCTAAGCACATAAAGTGAGAACAAATCACAATTCAAAAAAATTCCGTCAAAAGAAACCACACCACAATTGAAGAAAAAATTACTGGAAGAGAACCAAATTTGTTGGATGAAAAACTGAGCACCTAGCAAAATGTTGTTGAAAACGCTAGAAGGAGGGCTTGAACCTCCGACCTTGTGGTTAACAGCCACACGCTCTAACCAACTGAGCTATTCCAGCAGACGTTTCGAGGTTGTCTAATGCCATTGTTTATCTTGGAGCAACACATGGAAGTCCCACTTCCAAACCCAATTTTGGTCAGACATCCACATCAGAGCTCGCTCTCTGCATAGAGCGGTACTTCGATGGCTTACCTGTGTTGACGAAAGGGAAGCCAGGAAAAATTGGAACCGGGAATATAATCAAGAGATGGAAAAGGTCGGTCCTTGATTACCAATGGCCAGACAAGTCCCGTGCTTGCTTACAAATAGACGCTTCTCCTCCTCCAACCCCGAAATCCCATCCCTTTACTCCTTCCTTCAACCGTCTATCTTTGCCCTTAAAAGGAACCCTTCAGTTTCTCCAGAAGCCATCGAACTCCCAACTTCTCCACCTCGTTCCCTCACTGCTGACCAAATAACTGCCCTTCAAAATACTCTTCAGAAGTCTCTTATAAGCAGTGACACAGATGAAGCATGGAGGTCTTTCAAGACTCTTACAAACAACTCAGCCTTCCCTAGTAAGTCAATCACCAATTCCCTCATCACCCACTTGTCCTCACATGGTGACATTCATAATCTCAAGAGGTCTTTTGCATCTGTAGTGTACATGGTAGAGAAGAACCCTAAAATATTAGATTTTGAAACAGTTCATGGCATGCTTGATTCGATGAAGTGCGCCAATCTTGCAGCCCCTGCTTTTGCCCTTGTCAAATGCATGTTCAAGAACAGGTTTTTTGTTCCATTCAGTGTCTGGGGCAGTGTGCTTGTTGAAATAAGTCGGAAGAATGGTAACCTAGCTGCTTTTTTACGCGTTTTTGAAGAGAATTGTAGCATTGCTTTGGATGAGAAATTGGATTTCATGAAACCTGACCTGGCTGCTTGTAATGCAGCACTAGAAGGGTCTTGTCGTGACCTTGAATCTGTGAGTGATGCTGAAAAGGTCGTTGAAACAATGACACTTATGGGTGTTAGACCAGATGAATCCAGCTTCGGATTTCTTGCTTATTTGTATTCATTGAAGGGGCTTGAGCCAAAAATAGATGAGTTAAAATTTTTAATGGGTGGCTTTGGTTTCTCAAACAAAAGGGAATTTTATTGTAATTTAATACAAGGGTACGTTAAGTCAGGCAATTTAGCATCAGTTGAATCGACAATTCTTCAAAGTTTAAAAGACAGAGATGACAAAAGTTGGACATTTGGGGAAGAAACTTACTGTGTCGTTGTCAAGGGATATCTTCAAAATGGACATATCAAGGGATTAGCAAATTTAATTCTTGAAGCTCAAAAGTTGGAGCCTTCAGATACTGTAGATAAATCTGTAGGTTATGGTATTATTAGTGCATGTGTTAACACTGGATTATCAAACAAGGCACACAGCATTCTTGATGAAATGAATATTCTCGGAGGCTCTGTGGGTCTTGGGGTCTATGTGCCTATTTTAAAAGCTTACTGCAAAGAAAATCGGACAGCTGAAGCCACTCAATTGGTCATGGAGATTAGTAATTCAGGTCTAAAATTGGATGTGGAAACCTATGATGCACTAATAGATTCATCCATGACCAGCCAAGATTTTCAGTCAGCCTTTACATTATTTAGGGATATGAGGGAGGCAAGAATTTCCGATTTGAAGGTGAGTTACCTAACTATAATGACAGGTTTGATGGAAAACCATCGACCTGAGTTGATGGCAGCTTTCTTAGATGAGGTGGCTGAAGACCCTCGAATTGAAGTTGGTACTCATGACTGGAATTCTATCATTCATGCCTTCTGTAAAGCTGGGAGACTGGAAGATGCTAGAAGAACATTTAGAAGGATGATATTCCTGCAATTTGAGCCAAATGATCAGACATATTTGTCCCTAATTAATGGGTATGTCTTGGCAGAGAAATATTTTAATGTTCTTATGTTGTGGAATGAGGTGAAACGAAAGTTATCAGCTGATGGACAGAAGGGGATCAAATTTGACCACAGTCTTGTTGATGCTTTCTTATATGCTATGGTGAAGGGAGGTTTCTTTGATGCAGTTATGCAAGTTGTGGAGAAATCTAATGAGATGAAGATTTTTGTTGATAAGTGGAGATACAAGCAAGCATTCATGGAGACTCATAAGAAACTCAAAGTGTCAAAGTTAAGAAAAAGAAACTTCAGAAAAATGGAAGCACTTATTGCTTTTAAAAACTGGGCTGGCTTAAATGCCTGAATCTGAAGCAACGCCTGCTTTGCTTCTTTAGCTTTGAAACTTCATGTCTGGTAGACACACCACTCAAAATCAGGGCTGAAGATGAATTTAGCGTCGGATGTTCTTTCAAGAAGCTTAGGCTTGATGGATTTCATAAACGCTTGCAGCAACCCAAGTCTGTTTGCCTGATTGAAGCCACCTTGGGCTCAGAGGATTCTTCTAACAATTCAAGCTACAAAACTCACTTCTGCGGTCGCATGTTATGTGACTCGTTATTTTGACGATCTTCTGGATTAGTTCTCAACTAATCATTACATTTGGAGCCAAGTGTGGTTTCCTTCTCATTCTTTCCTTTTCTTCTTTCCCCATTTTTTTGGAGTTGATAATCCTCCTTGATCATTTGCTGGTTGACATCTACCAGATATAATTCTTAAAAGTTGATGGTGTACAAATGAAGTTTGCCATGTTATACGCTTGTGAAATCTGCAGATCGCTTTATTTTTTTCCTTGTTCTGTGAAAGGAATATAAATAAGTTAATTTCGATGAACATCAGATTGATTAGCCCCTTCCTCGCTGCTCCACCCCTAAGGCATGTCAAGTATTATCCATTAGGCATTTTGTTGTAGGCCAGTTAATGGATTCTGCAATGTAGATTTTTTTCAGGGAATCTTTGCATGGTACTAAGACTAGTGATTGAGCTTAGCTAACAGACACTCTTGAAAATAAGTGTTGATTACTGTGATTTAGCTTTTGCTTTCATGAAAACTAAGGCCTAAAGTATGCCTTCATCCTGAGTATGTGTTCCAAATATTATTTGTCATACCAAGTCATATCATATCTTCTTCTCAGGTTTCTCGATCATTTAAGCTTTGAAGATGACAAAATGCTCGACGAACAGATGAGCAGAAAGTAGGCCACCGAAGTTTTTCTAAATACCAAGCTACTCTTCCTGTCAGCTTTTCTGGACGTTAATCACTGGGCAACATTGTGTTTTGGACTTGAGTGAGGAGCAAGCTCAACTCAAGGAACTAAATGGCTGTCGTAATGTTGCTAGAAAGATCTATTGGCCGTTGTCTTGCGTAGTGGAATGTTATAGTTTTAGGATATACAGTGCAATATGCGAGAAAATTGAGGATGCATTGTAGTTGATGTTACCATTGCTGATTTATTGACACAATATCAGAAGGCACTACGGCAATGTCAATCCACTATTACTTTATTCCTAAACTTGAGAAATATAAGGATGATTCAAAACTTAATAACTACTCGCGAAATATCTCTTTATTTTAGGCCAAGGTTTCTGGTAAGAACCGAGGTGAACAAAAAATAATGAGCGCACACAAACTCTACTAGACCTCGCAAGTAAGTGTCTCGCTCACTCATAGGAGCGAATTAGGAATATCTCCTAAAATACTGAAATAATATTATCCACTCATATGTCAGCCATAAACTGATGCTAGGATTTTTATAGGCCAAATTTCAATGAAGAAAATAACAGAACATCCCTACTTTTATCGGGATAAACATCAAAACAGAAACAAATGGACTAAGTGGACTCAGTGGACTCTCCCAACGTCTATAAAAGGCCTTTATTCAGCTAATAAACGTTGAAACAAACATAATAATTGAATATGAAGTCACAAACAGCAAAGACCTGGTCAAGTTTTAAGATTCTTCCCTACTTGTGCGCCTCTGATAAGTTAGAATTCCATCAGTTTCTGCATATTGAGAAGATGAAGGGATCAAACACTTCCATATTCAGAATCAAGTATATATGCGATGAATATTTTAGGGCGAAATGGGCAGATATTTTCTGTACCCTGGCTCATTTGCAAACGGTTTCATATATTTATGACAGTCAGCTTATAATAAGTCTTTGCATTGTATTAACAATGCATTAAAAACCCTACGGGTTTCTTCCATGTCCAAAGTGTACCTCCTAACATGAATTTGCATATATATATATATATATATGGCATATACTGTGTATCTAAAATTCCCTTTATTGAAGTTCTGCAAAATTTAGTTTTGAGGATAGTTTGATTTTGATTGTTGAAGTCTGAAGCATTACCCCACCTTTTCTTTAGAGGTGGTGAATGGTTAGTTTCTGTCTTCTTACTGTTGTGCATTTTCCTTTCAGTTTCCACTCCATTAAAAAATTTACATCAAACTCCAATGTAAGCTTGAAGACTGATTTGGAAATGTTGTCCCACTCGGTTAGTAATAGCGAGAACATGATAACTCCATGTGCTGCAGTCGTGTATAGGAAATGATAAAAGAAGAAAGTGGTATTTGCTCCAAGTCATTTTAATTTTTGTTGACGTTGCGGCTGTTTGATCAAATCAAGCTCAACCTCTATAATAAACTAGACATGAACTAGATATTAAGAAAGGATAATTTATGTAAAATATATACATCAGCAAACACTCATTCTTTTGCCACGAGATTACTTTATTTCAAATGAAACTCTGCCACTAATATATCTGTCTGTTATGTAGGTTCAAGTTTTCTTATATGAAAGAGAGAGATCAAACTCCTTCAAATTCAAGAGTCAAGTGTATCAGTAACATCATTGGAGTTTAATAAAAATTGAAAATATTTTGAAGGCTATGTGTTTGGGTGTTTGCTACGTCCCGGTCAGTAACAGTATTCATTGGAAAGTTGTACCTTGTTTCATTTTCGTATGAAAGTTCCTCTCAGTTGCTAACTGAATTCGACGAATCTGATCATAGATTCGTTGTCGACGAGCTTTGAAATTTCAGAACCAAGTGCAGAAAGGTCTTCATCCAATCCCCACTTCATTTATTAATTATCCAACGAAACTAAGGGGAGAGAGTGACAGGAAAAATAAAGAAAAGAAAAACGAGCCAAAAGCCAAGAAGCTCCATCACCATCACAAGGAATCACACTACATATTCAAAATAATTTAATTTAATTGACGAAAATAGCTCAGCTGGGGTTGAGCTGGATTGGCGTTATATTTAATGCTCCATTGACTATCTGCTTCGTTTACCACTGACGCGCTCTCTGTATTAAAAAAGGAAGAATGCAAGTAGTTTCCGTCCACCGAAGCTGCCAAGCATCTGCCAAATCCATATCATTTCTGTTTTTAGATTCTTAGATATATAATATTCCACCCGTCCTAAATATAAAAAATAACTAACTCATTTTTTTTTGGGCAAAAACTACCTCATATAAATTAAGAAGGGTGAAGTATTGTCTAGCATCCAGTACCTAATATTATTTTTCGGGTATATCCAATACCTTAATTTTATTTATAATACATCCTACACCATTAAACATAAATAAAATTAGGGTGTTAAATATAACTGAACAATAACACTAGAGCATACTGAATGCACTAGAAAATTATATCAAGGTACTGCACTGTAAATAAGATTAAGGTGTTGTATGCTATTAGGAAATAACATCATTGTACTGGATGCTACTTTACCCTATTCTGAAATGAGTTAAGTTGGTTATTATTGAAAAAATATGTATTTATTCTTCTAAAATACTTATTTTAAATGAGTAAAAGAATTTATAGTTAAAAAAAAAAAAGACTCCACATTTTGTTTTTCTTTTGATAGCTCACATTTTGTTTTCTACATTTAGGATTCGGGGACTCAGTCACAAATAACTCTTTTTTCCCCCCGTCATTCAGGTTCTACAAGTAACTCTTGCTTCTCCCCATTGCTTTTGCTTGTGATGCAAGTCATTCTCCGTAGGAAAACATTCACATTTTTCCGGTTACCTACCGATTCTGGTCTTGCTGCTTGTAGTCAGTTTCTATTGTGGAACAATATAATAAACTCAGCAACCCGCAATCTACCTGTCTCACACACGTATATGTAATACATTGTGCAGTTAAAAAAAATTTTAAAGATCGTACTTGTTTTAGTATTCAAATTATCTAATGCTAAATTGTGTTAAAAGAATACTGAAGGAATGAAAAAAATGAAAAGAAATTGCACAAAACCACATACAACATTTGAAAATAAGTCAAATTGTATTAAATGAGAACTCCACAAAAAAAAAAAAAGTGAAAGTATTTATAACCTATAAAAAGCATAATTTTTGTCGTAGATTTTACATTTTATATTCATATTAATGTTGATATTAATGATAATTTATATGTATACATATGTGTAAGTTTCATGGTATTATTCCATGAGAAAATATGTCTACTATAATAATGTCTTGATCATTATAATTGTGATTATAACTCACATTTTGTACCATATATGAAAAATATTGGTATAAACTACCCATTATCTAATGTAGCGCAATAACATTTCTGGAAAGTCAGAATATATATACCCTGCCCTCGTCATTATAGTTGATAAGTTGCAGTTCACTTGGATCAGCGGCGGAATTTATTATACAAAATTGGAGCATAGTAGAAGATTTTTAGCAGAAGTAGGGGACAAGGTTACCATAAGATTATTAATTATCAAAGAAGCTGGTAAAAAAGCACCACCATTGTACGATATACCATGATAGATTTTGAAATTAAATCGCAGTCAAACTCAGCTAACGAGACAAGAAGGCTGGGTGCCAGAAAGCGTAAAAAGAAAAAGAAAACCTCAACTGGGGTTGAGCTGGATTAATATCATGCTTAATGTGATAGGTTGACCAGCATTGACAAGATGGCTGGTATTCCTTTTATACACTTCCTATATTAAGATAAATGCATGGACTTTCCATCCATTATAGTTTGCCGAATCTGTATCAGTTCAGTTTTCAGTTTCCCAGATATACTCAACCATGAATACTTCATCTTTTTCTCTTTTCATCATTCTGTTTCTCCATCTTTTACTCTTGCCTCTCCACATTGCTTCTGCTAATAATGCCAGTTATCTTCCCTTGGAAAACATTGCCCTCAACTGTGGCACTAGCTCATCAGAACGAGTGTCCTATAATGGGAGGAACTGGACTGGTGATGCAGGTTCAGAGTACGTATCCTCTAATGCAGAAGCCAAGTCCCTGGTAGCCAAAGCCTCTATGATTAATGAATCTGTTCCTGATGTTCCATATATGACTGCTCGAGTATTTTACTCTCAATTTACCTACAGATTCAATGTGACTCCAGGTCCCAAATTTGTCCGCCTTCACTTCTGCCCAACTTCTTACTTGGGTACTCTGGATGTCTACAAAGGTTTTATATCAGTCACTGCTGGTAATTTCACTCTTCTGCATAACTTGAGTGTTTCGCTCACTACCGATTACATCAACAAACCATATCTGATGAAAGAGTTCATCATCCATGTGAGTGGAAGAACCTTGGAACTGACTTTCACTCCATCATCCAGTGCTTCGGATGTCTATGCGTTCGTCAGTGGAATCGAAGTTGTTTCCATGCCATCCAATCTCTATATTCAGGGTGATAATGCCCATATTCCTTTAGTTGGTCATTATCCTGTGCTATATTACATTCATAATGATTCTGCCTTGGAAACCGTATATAGAATCAATGCAGGAGGGGATGAGATTCCAGCCAAATATGATACGGGGATGTTTCGCGCTTGGACCAGTGATGATGACTACTTGTATTTACCTTTAGCCGCTGTAGAACCCAATGATATGGTCTCGCCAATTCTATATCCAGAAACTGCTCCAGCGTATGTTGCACCAGAACTTGTCTATCGCACAGCCCGAGCAATGACGCCCTTTTCAGATGAACGTCTTAATTTAAACTATAATCTGTCCTGGTTCTTCCCCATTGATTCTGGTTTCAGTTATCTCATTAGGCTCCACTTCTGTAATATTTACCGAGACATAACTTTGGTGAATCAGATAGCTTTTACTATATATTTAAATAATCAAACAGCTGAGGATCAATTCGATGTAACTGCCGAGAGTGGTGGTCCTGGAATTCCCGTGTACCTAGACTACGTAGTGCAGGTTCCTGAAACTAGCAACGGAAAGCAGGATATTTGGATAGACCTTTATCCAGATCTGCAGAGCAAACCCCAGCACTATACTGCTTTCTTGAATGGTGTAGAGATCGTCAAACTTAGCGATTTGGATGGAAATCTTGCAGGAGTCAACCCTAACAGCAGCAAGTCCGAGTCGGTTGCGCCAGTGCCCCATGTTGCAGTATCAAAAAAGCCGAAGAGATTGGAATTCATCATCATGGGATGTGGACTAAGTGTTGGGGCACTAGGAGTATCGATTCTCTTTTTCCTGATTGTTTACGTGTCGAAATTAGTTGAGCAAAGGAAGATTTCATGGCGTAATCTCCTGATCTCTATTCCTAATCAAGTTAGAAAAGCTCACAAATCATCTTTTCGCCGTCATTTCCCCATGGATGAGATAAGAGTGGCGACAAATAACTTTGATGAGGCTCTGATGATTGGCATCGGCGGGTTTGGCAAAGTTTACAAGGCTAGTTTTGATCAAGGGTCTACCTTTGTAGCCATAAAGCGGAGCAATCCAATGTCAGAGCAAGGTGCTTTAGAATTTGAGACAGAGATCCATGTGCTCTCCCAGCTGCGCCACTACAACCTTGTTTCTCTTTTGGGTCATTGCCAAGAAGATGGAGAGATGATACTGGCTTATGAATATATGTCCAATGGTACTCTGTTTGATCATCTTCATTTGAGATCGAGGGAAGAACTACCTTTGTCATGGGTTCAACGTCTTGAGATATGCATTGGAGTTGCAAGGGGTTTACACTACCTCCACACTGGCACAGAACACATGATCATCCACCGAGACATCAAGACAAGCAACATACTCCTAGACCATAATTGGGTCGCCAAAATTTCAGACTTTGGCTTGTCAAAGGCAAGCAGCCCAGCATTAGTCAGCACCAACGTCAAGGGCAGTGCTGGATACTTAGATCCAGAGTACTTTCGGCATCACAAGCTGACCGAGAAATCTGATGTGTACTCATTTGGCGTGGTGTTGTTGGAGGTGATAAGTGCCAGGCCTGCTGTTAGTCCAGTTGAAGATGATGAACATGGTAACTTGGCAGATTGGGCTCTGTATTGCTGGGAGAATGGCATTGCAACTCAATTGGTGGATCCTGACCTTGAAGGTAAGATAGCAGCAGAATCTTTTGAGACATGCATTAGGGTGGCCAAGAAATGCCTGGCCGAGAAAGGGGCGGAGCGCCCCACCATGAGTGATGTGTTGCAGAGCCTTATCCTGGCATTGCAGCTTCAGAGAAATGCTAATATGGCACCAACCAGAGATTGCAACAGAACAGAAAATAGCCATTCAGAGGGCAACTCAGATTTGACACCTGGGATTGAGTTCTCCGAGATCATGATACCCATTGGAAGATGAAAGTATTTTCTGACAAAAGTTTTACCCATACTGTACAAGAATCAAAATTGTAAACTTGTGATTAGGGCACAAGACAACATAGTATTTCTGTACGAGGAAAATATGATTGCTGTATTCTTTATATATTTTTAAATGATAATTATTCCTTGGAGTTGATGAAGGATTTAACCATAATGATCTGATAATTGTTATCCTTCACAACTTGTCTTTGGTAAGAACAGCAACGAATTTTACAGTTAAGGGTGGCCAATGTCTCAGAATAAGTAAATGGAGCATATTGGAACCTGGAAGATTTAAAAGAACAAAGTATACTGAAGCAAAGAAGCAAGTATTATGTGATCATAATTCACAAGGTAAAATCTTTTGGGAGGTTTATACTCTATATTTTCTTTAAGAGAGCATGCATAAACTTTTATTAATGTGAAAAGAAATGAAAACTCCTTGAAAAATTATATGTTGATTTTTAAGTAATAATTTTTTGATATCAATTTCTTTTGTCAAGTTTAAGATATTTTGGTAAAGAGAAAATCAAGTTTAGAACATGGAAACCAGACATACAATCACAAAGATTCGTCGTAGGTAAGACATTAACTTTTTGAACCAAGTGCAGAAGTCCTCGTATACTACTCCTTTCGATTCTAAATATAAGATATTCTTCTGGTCCTAAATATAAGACCCTTATACTAGTGTGTATAAGGGTCTTACATTTAGGATCGGAGGAGTATATTTTGTGGTCTTGTATTTAGGACCACAGGAGTATTAAATAAACTTATTTAGATGAGGTATGTGGAGCGAAGTGCAAGTGTTTGTTTGCGCCGGGAAGCCCTTACATCCCTCAAACCATGGAAACTTCGTGCGTAACTGTTACGGGGAAAAATAAAGGGAAAAAAAAATCTAAAAGGCCAAAAGCACCGGCGGAGTACGGGGACCTCTAGCTCTAAACCATTAGATCATTCCCGAAAATGAATTCACAGCGTAATAAAAAGTTGCCACCTCCCGTTTTTAATGAAATCGAGATAACTAGTTTATTAATATTAAAAAATTAGTTAAGCTAGTTATTTGTAATAAATAGATATTTTTTTAAAAATTACATTTATTCATTATGTGCATTAAAATTATTTTTTGATAAAAATTCTTTAACATGTACTATTATTATGAGAATTATTTGGAAACAAAATAGATAAATATTGAAAACTACGTGAATTTGGATCTTATATGTAAAACTAAATTGAATTTTCAACTAATTCAAATAGAATTTCTTATAATAATAATAATAATCAACAGTAGGCGAGCACTGGTTCAACCCAACATCAGTGTTATTCAAACAAATAGTCAGTGTGTGAGCGTCATCCGTGTTGACCAAACAAGGCTGGAACATTGACTTTGCCAGGCGATAGGAAGAGTACTTCAAGTCAGATCAACTCTCTCCAACCAGTGACACCAATCAGATTCATAGCTTTGGCCCAAAAAAAAAATTCATAGCCAGCTCTCTAAGGATACTTTTCTAACAAATTGAACGAGGCACTCCCTCCACTCACCTTTGTTTTCCAAATATTTCTGCAAATCAGCCTCTCCATGAAGAAAAACCACACTGCAAAGTTATGCAAGTACGTTGTGAGCTTTGTGGTGCGTCTTTCCCTCCTTTTAACTACTTTGAAAACCTGTTCTTCAACCGACATCCCTTCAGACAGAATCCTCCTCGACTGTGGTTCTTTGGAAACATCACAATTCAATGGAGCAAAATGGACTGGGGACACTCACAATCATTTTTTGCCTCTAGCGTATAGCGAAACATCTTCCGCACGCTTCATCTCAAACCTGAGCTCTAGAGTACCAGAGATCCCATACTCAACGGCTCGCGTGATTCATTATCCATTCACGTACTCTTTTCCCTTCTCTCATGCCCTTGTGTTCATCCGCTTTTACTTTCTTTCGACTTCATACCTGGGACTAAGCCCCTCTAAGGCTTACTTTTCCGTTAAAACGGGTCCTTATACTCTGCTGAGTCATTTCAGCCCATCTGTTGCTGCTGACGAGCTCAAATCAGTCTTCTTCACCAAGGATTTCTTGGTCAACGTCAAGGAAAAGAGACTTGACATAACTTTCATCCCAGAATCTCTAGCTTCCAATGCACTTGCCTTCATAAATGGCATCGAGATCTTCTCAGTGCCTCTTAATATTTACTCTACAGGTTCCCACATTCCCCTTCCTTTTCCTGGGCATCAGGCACCTTTCTTCATTAATGATGACTACGCTATTGAAATGCTTTACCGGGTTAATGTCGGGAATGATGATTATTCAGTTGATGCCATAAATGCCTTTGGGACATGGGGCAATGATTTAAGCTACATAGCAGGCTTTAAACACGGAAGTGTGCTTAATATTAAGCTTCGTCCAGCTACGGTGACTTATCACTCTTCCAAATCCAATGACTATTATTACGCAGCACCAATAGAACTTTACTGGACCGCCAGGACAATGGGTATCAGCGGAGATAACACGAGGTACAACTTAACATGGTCATTCCCTGTTGATTCCGGTTTCAAATACCTTATTAGGCTTCATTTCTGCGAGATATCCATGGAGATAACCCAAGTCAACCAAAGGGTGTTCAAGGTGTATATCAACAACCAAGTAGCAGAGGAGAGCATGGACTTAGTTGCTCTGACTGGTGCACCACTTGTCACCTTATACAGAGACTACGTGGTTATGGTTCCTATGGAAAATGGGAAGAAGCAAAATATGTCAATTGCCCTTCACCCCAACATGAAGTCAAAACCCAAGTATGCTGATGCTATACTGAACGGCATTGAGATCCTCAAGTTAAGCGACAGTAGCAAGAATCTTGCAGCCAGCATTCAACTGAAAATGGAACAAAAAGAGAAGAAATCTCGACACAGCATTATTATTGGAAGCACCGTTGGTGTCATCTTGGGGTTGCTCATTACATTTTTAATCCTTATTCGCAAAACTGGGGCGAGAGTTAAGTGGGGACCTTTTCGGGTGGTCCCTTCAAACTTAGCAGGCAAAAGTCCCAAAAATTTGCATGCAACAGTCAGCTCAGGTCAATGCTACCGATTCACATTAGCAGAGATCAGAACAGCCACGAACAACTTCAGCGAGGCTCTTGTCATTGGGGAGGGCGGCTTTGGCAAAGTTTACAAAGGGTTGATCCACGATGGAGTCACCAATGTGGCAATAAAGCGCCGTAATCCGACTTCCCACCAAGGATATAGAGAGTTTCAAAACGAGATCAATTTGTTGTCCTCATTCTGTCACATGAATTTAGTGTCGTTGCTAGGATATTGTCAAGAGGGCAATGAGCTGATACTTGTCTATGAATACATGGCTGAAGGCACTCTTCGTGATCACTTGTACAAAACAAAGAAACAGCCATTGCCTTGGAATCAGAGAATAGAGATTTGTATTGCTGCAGCTCGAGGGCTACATTACATTCATACAGGCACACAGCACCCAGTTATTCACCGTGATGTCAAGTCAGCCAACATATTGTTGGATCACAATCTGGTAGCTAAAATTGCCGATTTTGGGTTATCTAGAATTGGCCCCACCTCCGCATCCCGCAGCCATGTTAGCACTAATGTAAAGGGTACATTTGGCTATTTAGACCCAGAATACTACAGGAGAAGAAAGCTAACTGAAAAATCTGACGTTTATTCATTTGGGGTGGTGCTGTTTGAAGTGTTCTGCGGAAGGCCAGCAGTGAATCCTCTGGCAGTGGAAGAGGATGGCGAGAAGATTGGCTTGGTTGAGTGGGCTTGGCAGTGTCATCTCTCTGGGGAATTTCATAGAATGATGGACCCGCATTTAAAAGGAAGAGTTCCATCAGGTTGCCTCAAGGAATTTGTAGACATTGGCATCAAGTGCTTGGCAGAAAAGAGCAAAGATAGGCCAACTATGGGGGAAGTGCTTAGTAGTTTGGAGAAGGTTCTGTTGTTGCAGGAGAGTTTGGACGGACAAGAAATAAATGGAGATGCACATTTCCATATAGGGACAAATGAGGATACCGCAAGCAATAGGTTAGTTGATGAACAACACTTGCACAACGAAATCGTGCCAATGGATTGATGATGAAAAGCAACAGATGATAGAAACTGAATTGTAATAACTCGATACATGACATTGAAATTGTAGGAAAGCTGCTAGTATTTGGGCGCATTCGTGAGCCAAGCATATTGGGTTTGGAGAATGTGATTTGTTTTGTGTTATTGTGTTAAGTGAGCATTTGAGTACCCGATCCAAGGCCGAGCAAGCACCGACACAAATTATCATGCCCCACGAACAAAGGCGCACAATCAGTTTTTACCAATTTTCCCTTTTAATTTTTAATTTAACTTTTTTTTTTATTTTGAACTTGAGTGCATTGCTGACATTTTTCAATTTTTATATCATTGTCTTCTGGCAAAAAAGGGTTATCAATCGGTCAATAAATGTCATTCCCCCTTTAAAAATTTATCTCTCTTGTTAAATTTCTTTCATCTCTTTTAAAATTTTCGACCAACATAAAAGGTACTCATAACATATCTCATATATGATTCTTTTTATTTCATCTTGAAGTAGGTTCATAAAAATTAAAATTTACTTGTAGAATTAAATGAGAGGACCAAAAGTCTGACCAAAAAATATGAGAGGACCAAAAGCAATAGGTTAATCAATGAAACTGTACGGATGGATTGAGAACGAAAATTAAGCAGTGGTAGAAACTAAATTACAAAAATTCAGTATATCTGAATTATCTTTTAAGTGAAGTCACAACATCTTGATGCACTTAGTGTGTAGTTCACAATTGAAACAATAGGTCAGGGAAACTTCTTTAACTTTCTTTCTTTTTTTTGGAAAAAAGGAAACAAAAATTTGAAGAAAAATTACAAGTTAACAAATAGGCATTTTATAGTCATATCACTTGTGTTAAATACATAGTCATATCACTTTTCAATCAAACCCATTTCTAATATGCCACAGCCTAATTGTCAGTGTGT